TTTTTTTTTTTTTTGGGTTTATTTATTATATGTGACTATGTGAAGGATTATAAATTATTTGTTCCTTTATTCGTCTCTTTTAATTCAAAAGAGATTTCCATATATGATTATCTGGAGACATTTACGTCTAATATAAGAAAATTACTTAGGTCTGTTACGAAACCATCGAGTTGGGATTTGTAACTGTTAGATCATCATGTAATCGTCGTTGATAGTTGATCTAACGGTTATAAACTCCGACAGAATGGTTCCGTAGCGGAACCGTAACATCTCCCCTAATATAATCTTCCACTCTCCCTAATTAGAAAAAAATCAATATTCCAATAAATTCTGACAATTGAAATCTAAATTCCAACTCCTCTAATAAATTAGAACACACTATTTACAAAGACATTTCATTTCAAACATCCAAAAACCATCATAAGATCCATCACATTATTACCAAACCAACATTCCTGGACACAGAATTTCCAAAACCTAATTTTTTTTCTTTTTCTTTCACATTTTTATTGAACCCATAACCCAATCTTAGTCAACATAACTACCATTATTTCCTTTTATTTTTTGTTTTTGAAAAGCAAGCTTAAAAAGAAACAAAAAAAAGAAAAGAAACTTGGGAATATAAAGGTTATATTAGCTCGCTCGACTCGGCATCTTGAAAGTAGTCCTCACGCGCATTGTTGACGAGCATGAGTGCAACCAGCCACAAAAGTGACGAGTTTAGGGAGGCAAAGGCACCGCCACCGAGTAGGCCCGTCTTCGCGGTGGCACAGTCGAATTCGAGGTCGGTGTGGACGTTTTTGGTGTGGTGGATGTGGCCTTGGATTGTTGGCCATATTAGAAATATTGCAGCAAACACTGTTGAGCCCCTGTCAAAGTATTTCACCCCAAAGGGATATCCCAAGAAATTAGACAATACGAAAATAATTAATATGTTGATCAAGAGTTTGTAGTCGGTTCATAAGATATAAAAAAAAAAATCAGACAAAAATGACAATTTGAAGGGGGAAAAGAGTAAAGTATAATGAAGATTAGCTCACAATGCAATAGAGATGTAAGAAGTGCACCATCTGGAGCTGAAAATCGCGTTCCTTGGGACAGATTTTCCTTTGTAGGGATAAAAGAGAGAGAGATATCCGGCAACTGAGGCAGCCACGAGAAGTGCGGTCGAGATGTATCCGAGGAACACCGAAGGATCGTATGGATATTTACATATGATAACTCCTTTTCCGGTAATGGCTTCCCCTGCTGCTGGCTGCAAATATGGAGATCCCAAAGAGTTAAGCCTTTGATAGATAGATAGATCGATCATTCATATTTTCATATATTGTTATTCACGAAACATTATACGCCACACGCATACACACACACGAACCTTCTTGACTTCGGCTAATATTCCGATGATAAAGGATGCAGTGCCTAGGGTGGCAACAACCATAGCATATTGAACAGGAGTTAAAGCCATAATTTTGATGATAAAAAGGTAACTTTCAACCACAGATTTTCTTGTTTCCCTTTCAACCCCTTCACCCTGCAATAAAATCAATCCAGAATTCAGTACAAAATCCAAATCTTTTTGTTTATAATATGGGAAGACAAAAAGGATTAAACCTTTCTTGAGAACAAAGGATCATTTATTCATATTATTATTATTTTTTTTTTTTAGGAAGATAATTCATTGGTGACTATTCTATTAAAAATCAAATAATTGGCTACAATAATATATTGAAATATTCATAAACCAAAAAATAAAAATGGTTAAATAATTATGTAAATATTATGGAAGTAAATCGACCATGCAACTAATGTGCAAAATTCAAGCATTATGATCATCTCCCATGACAGGCAAAAATTTAAGGCAAAATTGCATTTTATGCCCTGTAAAACTAGGGGACTGTGACAAATGTGGACAACTTCTTTTTGGTTTGGCAAAAGTGCCCTAAAACTTGTTAAAAACCCGAAATTCGTGCCCAATTTGGGCACAAATTTCGAACTTTAACAAGTTACTGTTCTGTTTTGCCACATGAAAAACCGGTCAAACCCAGTAACTTGTAGGTAAATTGGGCGCGAATTCCGGGTTTTAACAAGTTTTGAGGCACTTTTGTCAAACTAAAAAAAAAACTGTCCACATTTGCCACACACGCATAATTACAGGCACAAAATATAATTTTGCCAAAATTTTATCATATATCAACTTTTTTTAAAAACAAAAAAATGGAAATTTGAAAATAAAAATGAACTATTATATATAAAAAAAGGAAAAATAAATAGATAAAGAAAATGGAATTTTGCCTTTAAATGCTACCCCTTTATTGTTCTTGGGGTTGCAGGGAGAACTAGAAAAAGGATGGTTGAGTTATCTCTCTATATTTTCTTTTTGTGGATGATTCCCAGCAGTCTTAAGAATGTAGGTTATTTAAATAGTGAAAATAAGGCTTTGGAATTAGATACACTTATTAGGTTAGATACATGATGTAATTAAAAACATGCTATATTCAAGGGCTTCCAACCAACTTTTGCCCCAAAAGTGTGTGTTATTACCACCATTGGCATGCCCTTGATTTTCTAAATCAAAAATTCTGTATTATTCATTGATTTCACTTCTTAATTTAGCATGTTAGATAGCATAAGTCTGGTATATTTGGAATCTCCCATTTTCTCGACTACATGGATGTTCAAAACTTCGTTCTCTTTAGATGAGATGGTTTGGATCTCTTCCAGCTTAACCAGTGGTCTCGTGTTCGAGCCCTGGAAATGCAGTAGTGTTAAAACTCTTGAGGGATTGAGATGGCTTGGATCTCTTCCAGCTTAACCAGTGGTCTCGTGTTCGAGCCCTGAGAATGCAGCAGTGTTCAAACTCTTGAGGGAGAGTTTTGCCGCCCTTGTGGTCCTACCCGGATCGATTCCGAATTAATTGGTTCCCTTGTGGATCCGAAAACCGAAAAGTCCATGTACCAAAAAAAAAAAAAAAACTTCGTTCTCTTTGCAAATAATAAAATTTTATATTTAATTAGTTCGAAACGGACACAATCAAAATGGATTTTTTTAAAAAAAAAAATCGTACCAAATATGATATGCTGGGTTGGAAGAATTCTAAAAAAAAAAAGACGATCGAGCTAAAAACAATGATTGAACATGTTTTCGCCATTCAGAGTTGTTTAACTGATGAATATATTTAGTATAATTCTACCATCCGAGTTCTCTAAGAAAATTGAGTCATATTATTTGTAATGTATAGAACTTGTATATTAAACTTTTTTGTCTACAAATTGAGCCAATACAACTCTTTTTCCACTTTCTCAATCTCGACGGTCAGCGCGACCTTGTGACCAGTCGTGTGCTTCAAGTCGGCATCCTCGTCGTCCGACACGATCACCATAGGACTTTCATGGGGTGTCGGGCTCTCACCAACCATGTCAATGGTCGAGCTGGAAGGACCACCTACCTTGAGCTTGTTGAACTGTATCTCCTCAGGATCGGGAGAAACGACCATCACTTCAAAGTTAGTCGGAAGACCGAAGCAACGAGATTTTAGAGCATAACTTCCCTTAGGTCATCATGGCTCTGAGTTTCACTCTCAAAGCGCTGAATGAGCCACTCATGTTTAACTCGTACTGGCCTCAATGTCGTCGTAATAATCCTGCAACCCCCAAAACTCGTCGAAAGTAATATTCCATGTAGGGACCGGTAAAGATTGTTGCTATGTGAATGTCACGAATTAAATTCTACAATTTAAACCACTGCTCAGCAGAACTAAGGTTTAGCGTATAATACTTATGGGTTAAAAGTTCAAAGACTCTGAGACGTTGTAGATTTCCATTGGAGGAGATCGTCTGAGTCCGCTTGTCAAAATTGTTTGTCCCTGAAAGCTCATAATTGTCGCTGATCGTCAGACGAGGCACCGTTGGTCGCGCGTCGTGTAGCTGGGGAGGGGCTGCGTGCGCGCGGATGTCGTGCGATGTGCTCGGCTGGTCGAGGATCGTGCGCAGTAGCGGTGCGCGGCGTGTGAATCAAAGTAGTGTGGCATGTGA